TCTGATCTTTAATTACTGTTTGGACACATTTTTTCTAAAAATTTATTGTATGACTCACAGAATTTTGAATTATATACAAATGCTATGAACTAATGAATTCTATCCTTCAGCACCTAAATGAGGCCAGTTTAGAATGTGTATTGGAGCATAGCATTTTGGTCATTGATGAATGAGTGAGTCCAAAGACCAAAGTAGCCCATTTTTCGAGCCATCAATGGAATATAGAATTTCTGCATCTATGGGCTGAAAACTGCTTCATCATTTAGTCAAGAGGATTCCCACCTTTCTCTATGATATTTATCTGTGTTGTGGCGTCTTTTGGGGAAGTTTAGTCGTGTACTCTACAAGAGTCTGGTAGGTTAATAAATTACTGATGATTTTTTATTAATATAGTTCTTTTATTGTTTCAGGGATAAATGCAGTGATAAAGTAAATTTTTTGTTTTTAACATGCTGGCCATCTCCACCAAGGCTGTGTGGCTGGAAAAAGAAGGCATACACATTCTAAGTCCATACACATGTGGATGGTTTGTTCACATACTCGAATCTGTCCTCTCTAATGTACTCAGTCTCTCTCTCTCGTTTTGTCATTTTAATCTCGTTGGCTCACTCATGCCTTATTTTAAGGTAAGTAATGAGTGTACTGTATATGCATTTTATCGCTCTAGGGGTGCTTTAAATGCCTAGCATATAATGTGTGGGAGGTGGGTGGCCAGATTGGGTTTACGATACTACCACTATTCGATACCTACTTACCACCTTCTGCTTGCCTTGCACCCTATATTATAGACCATTAGACTCAAATATTTTAAGGTAAGTAATGGAGTGTACATGTTTTTTTTTTATCGCTCTAGGGCTCTTTAAATGTTGAAGTATATAACGTGTGGGTGGGGTGGGGTTGGATGGCCTGGCTGGCTACCATACCTACCACACCTAACTTCTTGCAATAAACACTACTCACTTCTATCCTACATTACGACTACAAAATATATTGAGGTTAAGAGTAATGAGTGTACTGTGTGTGTGTGTATTTTATTGTTTTATTATTTTTTAAATGCATGTTCTATTGCTAAACTCTAATGTATGTTAGTGTAAACTTTCGACATAAGTGGAAAACAAATGCCGTTCTGCTTTCCGGCGATGTCCGACTTCTCCGGCTAGTAGCCTGGAACTAACCTGCCCATATAAGGGCGGCCCTACTGTACTACTATATTCTGTTCCATTAGTAAAATTTTGTCTTGGATTTGGCCTCGTATCTTAGAAATAATTTATGCATAGTTTCAGTTAGAGGTGGACTGCAAAAAAATATAATTGCAAATTATTAAATTTGAAGCAATGTAAAAAAGAGAGCAAATGAGAGAAGGGGTGAGATGTTATCAACAAATTTTGGTTGAATAATAAGAAAAAGTTTTGGAGTGAGATTAACAAGTTATGAAAGCCTAGAGAAACAAATGGATTTGTCAGTTAAAAATAGGAGAGAGTAGTTATTAAAATGGAGAGTTAGAGGTTTTGGGACGATGGGGAATATTTGAGGACATTGTTAAATGTTGATGAAGATAGGGAAGATGTGATTTCGTGTAAAAGGGCAAGGAGGAATATACATCTTGTAGGAGTGAGGATGAGCCAGTTGTGAGTGTGGGGGAAGTTCGTGAGCAAGTAGGTAAAATGAAAGGGGGTAAGGGCAGCTAGGGGATTGATGGGATAAGATTAGAATGTTAAAAGCAGGTGGGGATATAGTTTGGAGTGGTTGGTGCAACTATTTAATAATGTTTGGAAGAGGGTTAAGGTACCTAGGGATGGGCAGAGAGCAGGCATTGTTCCTTTGTATATAGGCAAAGGGGATAAAAAAGAGAGTGCAAAAAATTATAGGGGGATAAGTCTTTTGAGTATGTACCTGGTAAAGTGTTATGGTGAGTTATAATTGAAAGAATTAAGTGTAAGACGGAGAATAGGATAGCAGATGAAAAGAGGCTTTAGGAAAGGGTAGGGGGTTGTGGACCAGGTGTTTACAGTTGAAACTTATAAAGTGAACAGTATTTAGATAAGGCTAAAGAGGTCTTTGTGGCATTTTGGATTTGGAAAAGGGTATGACAGGGTGGATAGGGGGGCAATGTGGACAGATGTTGCAAGTGTATGGTGTAGGAGGTAGGTTACTGAAAGCAGTTGAAGAGTTTTTACGAGGTTTGTGAGGTCAAGTCTAGAGTATGTAGGCAAGAGGCGGAAATTTTTTCCAGTAAAGATAGGCCGGAGACAAGGAGTGTGATGTCACCGGGGTTGTTTAATATATTTTATAGATGGGGTTTGTTAAAGAGAAGTAATTGCGGAGGGTCTTGGCAGAGGGTGGAGTTAAAAGATTAAGAATCACACAACAAAGTGGGAGTTGTCACAGCTGCTCTTTGTGATGACACTGTGCTCTTGGAGATTCTGAAGAGAAGTTGCAGAGATTGGTGGCTGAATTTGGTCGGGATGTGCAAAAAGAAGAAAATTAAGGTGATAAGGAAAGAGTAAGGTTATGAGGGATACAAAAGATTAGGTGATGAAGATTGAATATCAGATTGGAGGGAGAGAGTATGGGAGGGGAGAACGCCTATTCAGATATTTGGAACGGTGGACGTGTCAGCGGGATGGGTTATGAAATATGGGTTGGAATCATAGAATTGAATGAGGGGAAAAAGAGTGAAAGTTGGTGCACTTAGGAGTCTGTGGAGACAAAGAACTTTGTCTTGGAGGCAAAGAGGGGAATGTTTGCACAGATGGCAAACTAGTATATTACCAACGCTCTTATATGGGTGTGAAGCGTGGGTGATGAATGTTGCAGCGAGGAGAAGGCTGGACGGCAGTGGAGGAGGTCATGTCTGAGGGCAATGTGTGGTGTGAATATAATGCAGAGAATTCGCTAGTTTGGGAAGTTAGGAGGAGGTGCGGATTACCAAAACTGTTGTCCAGAGGGCTGAGGAAGGGTGTTGAGGTGGTTCGGACATGTAGAGAGAATGGAGCGAAACAGAATGACTTCAAGAGTGTTCAGTCTGTAGTGATGGAAGGCGGGGTAGGGGTCGGGCCTAGGACGGGTTGGAGGTGAGGGGGTAAGGGAGGGTTTGTTTGTGCGACGGGGCTTGGACTTCCAGCAGGCATGCGCGTGAGCGGTTTGATAGGATGAATGGAGACAAATGGTTTTTAATACCTTGACGTGCTGTTGGATAGTGTGAGCAAAGTAACATTTATGATGGGATTCAGGGAAACCGGCAGGCCGGACTTGAGTCCTGGAGATGGGAAGTACAGTGCCTGCACTCTGAAGGAGGGGTGTTAATGTTGCAGTTTAAAACTGTAGTGTAAAGCACCTTCTGGCAAGACAGTGATGGGATGTGAATGATGGTGAAAGTTTTTCATTTTCCGGGCCACCCTGCCTCTGGGTGGGAATCGTCCAGGGTGATAATAAAATATTATATTTGTTTGTGTGACGGGGCTTTCAATAAAATTTTGGAGAGGTGAATTTGTGAATTTTGAGGTTAAACTTACTGTAGTAAACTATTGGGTATTCAGGGTCGTTTTAGCTATTGAATAGATTAATTTTGTTTTTCAGCTTGAGGCTATTCTTTAGTGGGGTCTCAGATTTGTTTTTGGTCAAATCAGTGAACTTTTGTAACAAGTCCAGACTTTCCCATGGCCTGCATTTACAATTCAATGTAACAGTGTTCTGATTCTTTCACATTCTTTACTCTACTTATTTTTTTTTTTTTTTAAACATATTTTCAAAATGTGAAAAGAATTAAATTTTCTCAGTTTTTAATTTTAGTGGACCCTCAGTCTAAAATTTTATATTGGCTGTTCCAGATACCGGCCAACTCAGCTATCGCCCGATTTTTTGAACCGAAATTTTTATTCCGGTTATTGGCCATTATTTCACTTATCGGCTTGTATTGGAGCAAGATACCCGCCACTGCCAGCCACTCGCTGCGTTCATGAGTCAGTCTGGCTGTGTCTATGGCAATTGAGGAAAACTTCTGATCATTATCCAAAACATTTCGCTATAATCAGTGTTTTTTTTTATGTTCATCGATTTAGTGCAACTGCGATATAAGCTAACCCAATGGGCCCAAAGAGAAGTTCCTAGTAAAGTTCCTTTGGATAAGGAAGTTGAGAAACATGATTTAATTTGAGAAAGAAGTGTTGAAAAGTGTGTGAGTGGTGTTCAAGTGCTAGAAACTTGCCAGGATTGTATGGGAAATCAAAATCAACAAAACCACTTCCATCCTGGCAAAGAAAGTAGAAAATTCAGGAAGTAATGTTGCAATAGGGAGTTTAGCAGGGAGGCAGGAGTGTAGCGGGGGGAGGGAGTGTGGCGGGGAGGCAGGACCCCAATGGAAATTAAAGTCACTCGGTCTTACTTTTTTGGGTTATCCTAGGTTCTTTACACTTGCTGTAGAGGGAGGGAGGGAGTGTAACAGGGGTGGCAGGGGAGTGTAAGCAGACATGCAGGGAGTGTAGCAGGCCATGCATGGAGGTAGCCAGGCATGCAGGGAGTGTAGCAGGAGAAATGGGGGGTGTGGAATGGAGGCAGGCAGGGAGTGTAAGCAGGCAGGCTGGGAGTGTAGCTAGGAAGGGCAGGGAAATTAACCTCAGAGAGGGCTTTGATACTAAAGTCCTTATGAGGGGTATTCCCCTTCAAGCAGTATCAGTCCCTCCCTCTCTCCCTCTCCTGTTTCTATAAGCCAAACAAGAGTCTTCAATGAGGTATGTAATATGATTTAAATGTTCATTTATTTATTTTATTTAGTTCTATCGTTTTGTGTATTGTAAACTATAATTAATCTTTAGATAAATGTAATTTTTTGTTAATATTTTGGGTGTCTGGATTGGGTGATTTGTATTTATATAATTTCTTATGGGAAATATTATTTGGGTTTTAGGCCATTTCAGTTTTTAGGCGACCTTTCTGGAACGTATTTACGGCTGATACCGAGGGTCCACTGTATGTTGTAATTTTTTTCCTCCCCCTCATAGATGGAGAGAGTGACTACAGTGTGTCTCGAGCAAGAGTGGAAGCTGTGAGTCAGTGGTTAGGAAGCCGTGAGCTACTCAACTTCCCAAGAGGGAAAGTCAGTTGTTGTCTCAGTAGAAAGCAGTATGACGGAAGGTTACCTGGTGGCTGTGTTTGCTCATCTCTCTGTCGACAAATATCAGAGGCCTGTCTCTTGGCACAGGACAAAGGTAGATGTCACAGGCAGCCTCTTCAGCCTTTTTTTTTTATAAAAAGCTTTTCTTTTTATATTTATACTAGAGAAAGGATACCCAAATTGTATTATTTACTGTTTTTTTTTTCTGAAAGATAAAGCTAGAGAAAGGATCTCTTTAGCTTTGTCTTTCAGAAAAAAACAGCAAATAATACAATTTCGGTTAAACATGTTCATATAAGGTTATGTGTAATTGTCTCAGGTGTTATGGAAATACCTTAAATATTGTGAGTAAGGTGATAGCAATGTCATTGTCACGATTAATGCTTGCATAATGTATTGAGGCATACAACATTCATTTGTTTTTTATACTTAAAAATGCAAAATTATTTTTTTAATGCACCAGCTGTCTCCCACTGAGGCAGGGTGACTCGATAAAGAAGAAACGCTTTCACCATCACTCACTTCGTCAGTGTCTTGCCAGAGGTGTGCCAATACTACAGTTCAGATGCCCTTCCAAACTGCAGTATCCCCACCCCTCTTTCACAGTGTAGCACTGTACTTCCCACCTCCAGATGTGATTTAAAGTAGTGCTAGAATTATAGAAATTCTCCATGGTGAAGTGGAGAAGAATCCTTTTTTGCTCAGTGCATAACATCACCTTTTTCCTCTCTCTCTCTTGCCCTCTTTTTTTTTTTTTTCTCTCTCTCTCCAACATGTCAGTTGTCTCCCATCAAGGCAGGGTGACCCAAAAAGAAAGAAAATCTCCAAAAAGAAAATAGTTTCAGCATCATTCAACACTTTCACCTCACTCGCACATAATCACTGTCTTTGCAGAGGTGCTCAGATACGACAGTTTAGAAGTCCCTCCAAACTACCAATATACCAAAAACCCTCCTTTAAAGTTGCAGGCACTGTTTAACTTCCCATTTCCATGACCTCAAGTCTGGGGTAACCGGTTTCCTGAATCCCTTCACAAAATTTTCCCTGCTCACAGTCAACAGCTCGTCAGGTCCCAAAAACATTCGTCTCCATTCACTTTCATATCTAACATGGTCCACACCATTCTTGCTGGAAGTCCAAGCCCCTCAACCATGAATCTCCTTTACCCCCTGCCTCCAAACTTTTGAGGATGTTCCCTACCCTGCCTTCCTTTCTCCACCCACTACGGATTTATACGCTCTCCAAGTCATTCATACTTTGATTCCATTCTCTCTAATGACCAAAACCACCTCAAAAGCCCCTCTTCAGCCCTTGACTAATACTTTTTGTAACTCCACACCTCCTCTAATTTTCACACTCTGAATTCCTTTTGCTTAATATTTACACACAATATTGCCCTTAGGACAAGACATCTTCACTGCTTCCAGCTGCCTCCTCGCTGCAGGCCATTCTACAACCATGCTTCATAACCCAATTAAGAGTGTTGGTTACTACTATATTTTGTTACATTCCCTTTCTTTGCCCATGGATAACGTTTATAGAGGCACACTGACCAGCTGCAGCAGCGAACTCCAGATTCTTTTTCCTCTATGTCAGCATTAATTCAAAAAAAAAAAAATATTCACTTCATTTTAACATCTCCCAATTCAGTTTTTAATGTCATTGTCCAATTCCTCCTCAAGCTTCTCAAGTTATTCCTCATTCTCAGTGAAATATACATGAAAAAAAAGACCCACTTGTTATCTCATTTGCTTAATGTTTGCACTCTCCTACTTGGTTATACTTCTATTTTTGTCCATATACCTTGCATTCATGTATCTTTTTTACATTTTGAAAGCACACTCATGTGGCAACACTACTTTTTTCACTTTTCCACTCTACTCATTCCAATCAGTCATTTGTATTCTCATCTGCACCTGCTCCTTCTATAACCACAAACTTCCTGCTGCACATAACTAGCACCTCTGATTCATGTCAATACCTGTACTCTCTTCTCACCTGTCTACTAATAGTTACTCATATCTTCTGCTAACAGATATATATTTGTGTTAAAATTATTTAGTGCTTGGAATATTTCAAATCTTTTATGTTTTCTATATAGTGAAATTTTGAAAATTTCTTTGTTCACCATGGAATAAAAAATTCCTTGACAATTTATTTGTATTTTAAATTGTGTTTAGGAGATCACCACTTAGCCTTGTTGTTGGCCCAGGCTTGCCTTGGCCAGGATCATCCGCCAGATTTTGGCCAGCAGCTGTCAAACTGGGCAGAGGGTGGAACTGATTGCCCTGATGCTCCATCCCGGTGGTATTGTTACTCACTGCTAGCGGCAGCACCCACTCATTCAAGCCTCTCAACAACACGTCAATCCCTCACGGAACATGGATACTCCTGCTACTGGAGCTCCGAGCCTTTTGACCTTCATATCACAGCTGGCTTCCGCGCGTACTTCAACCAACCTCCGTCATACTGGGTCATGTACAATTAAACTAGCTGCTACGTCACCGACGACACCGTGTGGACGTGTGCAACGGAGCCTCTACGACTAGGCAGCGGTTTGCTCGGGCCCCATAAAACTGGTCTCGCGTATTTATGCTTGTCATACTGTTGGACCATCAGTTGTGAGCAAGTACATTTATGAAGGGATTAGGGAAACCGTTAGACGGACTTGAGTCCTGGCGTGGAAGTACAGTGACTGCACTCCGAAGGAGGGGTGTTGATGTTTACAGTATTGGAACCCAGTAGGTTTTCTGTGTGCATCTAGCAAGAGAGTGATGGAGTGAGTGATGTTGAAGATGTTTCGTCTTTTAGGTCATCCCCCTGCCTGGGAGTTGGCCATTTTTTTTTTTTTTTAAGTTATTGGCTGTTTTCACCGAGACAGGGATGATCCAAAAAAGAAGAATGCACTTTCATTTATCATTCACTCCATCACTGTCTTTCCAGCAGGCATGCCTACACTACAGTTCAAAAACTGCAAACATATCTCCTTCCCTCCTTAGTGTGCAGCACTCTACTTCCATCTCCAGGACTCAAGTCTATATAAATGGTTTCCCTGGACATGCTTTTATTAATGATTGTTTGCTCGCACTCCAACAGCACGTCAAGTAATAAATAACCATTTGCATCCACTCGCTTATTTAACATCACTGGAAGCCTAGCTGCTCACACACAAAACCTCCTTTACCCCTTCATCCAACCTTTCCTAGGCCAGTGTGTGTGAAAAATGTTGATTTATATGCAGTTTTTATTTTTTAATTATGAAACAGGGGTGAGGTTCAGGAAAAAATAAAAATGGCTTCCTGCACTACCCGTTTAGATTTAATACAGTATCTTATCTTGGTTTTTTCATCTAATCTTGATGAACAATGGGTTTTACAGGTATGTTTGTCCAGCAACAGCAACCATAGTGAAAGCTCTTCATGAGTATAGCAAGCAGTGGTTCTGAGAGGAGATGCTCCTAGCTACTGTGAGGCTCCATTACCTCCATATTTAGCTTACAAAGCATTTACCCAATGCATGAAAGGTATAAACAGCAACTCTAGAAATGTTGTTAGGCATCTTATTGTCTTCCATTGAAAGAATTCTCGGGTAATCTCCATTTATTTGAACCACTTATCTTCCTCGGATATTACAGACAAACAGGCCAGCTTATAGGCCAGCCTTTCTAATTTTGATTGACTAATGTAAATTAGCTGTCTAAATTTATATATATAAAACATTTATATAATGGATGTTAAGGGGAAGGGGGGGTTAGCTGGTGATGGCAATTGTGGGTGGATAGAGCATTTTGCCATGACAATAAACAATGGGCGAATTTTGTCATTGTATCTGTATCAGCTGACTAAAGCTGTATTGGCCTGAATTTTGAGGTCATTAAGTGTGGTATGTTGAATCAAGGATTGCTGTTTCTTGTGGATGAAGTGTGGGAATGGATTGACAGCAATCCCATCAGCATTGTCAAAAGACTTTACTTTGTACTGGACTTTAAGGGTTGAGTGTGTTGAAGCCTCACTGTGATCAACAGCTTGTTGTAGAAATTTTAACATGCAATCTGGTAGAATCTGGAGGGGATTTCACGGGGTCAATGCCTCTTGTGGCCGTGTCTGTGACCCAGGCTCATGGTGGTCAGGGGGGGCCTGATCAAACCAGACTGTTACTGCTGGCTGCATGTAAACTGATATACTAGCCACAGCCCCGGCTAGTCAGGTACTGACTTCAGGTGCCTGTCCAGCTCTTTAAGACGGCAAGGCTCTTTGGTACCCCCCCTCATGTATGCTGGAGGCGTTTGAAACAGTCTTGCGGAATAGTCCTATACTATTTCCTAGGTGCTAATTATCATGTATCTTCTTGCCTGTATTCCTGGTAAATGCAGATTAAGGGGACTTCAAACCATTCCCGCAATTTAGGTGCTTTATTGTACTTATATGAGCCATGTAGTTCTCTACAATTTTGCCTTGCCATGGAAGGGGACCTGTTAGTGTACAGCAATATTCCAGCTTAGAAAAAACATGCGATTTGAGAAAGTCATCATGGGCTTGGCATCCTTGTTTTGAAGGTTCTCCTTACCCATCCTATTATTTTCCTAGTCGATGTGATAGATACATTGCTGTGATCTTTGGAGTGAGATCCTCCAACATTGTCACCTCCCAAGTCTTTCACATTAGTTTTTCACTCTATTGTGTGGTCGTAGCAATTTTGTCTTATACCCCTTTGACACAGTTTTAATTTCCTTGAGTTTTCCATAGTGGAAAGTAATTGATTTGCCTTCATTGAACTTCATGTTTTCTTGGGGCCCATGTAAGATTTGGTTGATGTCTGCCTAGGAGGCTTGCTGAAGTGTCTTTGATGGATGACGCTGTCATGCAGAATTTTCGGTGTCATCTCAGTGGAAGACACTCTGCTGTGGCTCTACATCTCTGTCTGTGTCAGATTGTGAGCGTGAGGAACAGGAGGGAGCAAGTAAGTACCTTGTGGAAAG